GTGCGTGCGTGCGTGCGTGATTGTGTGTGTGTGTGTGTGTGTGTGTGTGTGTGTGTGTGTGTGTGTGTGTGTGTGTGTGTGTGTGTGTGTGTGTGTGTGTGTGTTTGTGTCAAGATCTTGTCCAATACGTCGCATTCCAATGTCAGGTGACTACTTTGCAAACACTGGCAAAGTCTGTGCCTATGCTGGTTTTGGGTGCACCTGTCCGTGCGAGTTTGACCTTTGGAAGCAGGAATTCGTCAGCGCAGACTCATGACAGCCAGGCAGCACAAGGGAGCTGATGATGGACAGGCACAGTCCCCCAGCCTATCTGCAAAGCTCTGCTCGGAGAAGGAAGGGCACATCGCGCGGCACACGCAGCTGTCAGCCGGGCAGCCTCAGGATTTTGGACAAAAGTAAAACCAGAGAAGCGTCTGTCAACCCCTTGCATTCTGGGGCATGGGATCAGCGGCTGTGTCTGCGCTATATTGGTCCAGGGTAGCCTGCTGGAAATGCAGCAAGATTTGACTCCGTCGATGATGCTGGCGCTGTGGTGTCGCCTTGGTCATGTAAGGCTTGACTCAAGCTCGATACTCTTCCGGCCAAAAAGCACGCTGAGACTCAGACTGCCCCAAGTTCCAGCAGCCAAGCATCCCAAGGTCTCCCCAGGAGTTGAGATGCAGAGCGGCCGCCCCCCAGGGCAGTAGCACAAGCCTCTCTCGGCATGCACGCTAAGAAAACTCCTTCACTCCCTCACTCCCTCACTCCCTCACTCCCTCACTCCCTCACTCCTTCGCTCCTCGTCCCCCTCCCTCGGCCATCTCTCTCGCACTCGCTCTCTTAGTATCCTAATCGCTCACTCAATCCGGTAAGAGAAACTTCACCTGTCATGACTCATGACCATAATGTTCACTCAATGTGAGGCTTTCACGGAAGCCCAGCTGGGTAAGAACTTCTGGGTCCAAGTTTGGTGCCCATAGATGGATGCTTTCGCAAAAATGTGGTCCATTTGGAAGGACTCACTCAAGGTCCTCCAAAACCTAGGGGACTCACGAACTCCCCCACATCCCAGGAGGGCACTTTCTGACCCATGGCTCATCCCACTCAAGGCTTCAGCTCGCACCTGCAGAATCCGGGACCGCCACCAGGTCTTCTGCTCCCGCGGCGCTGGCACAAGTGCTCTGAGAGCCTACGAAGCACAGGTCTGACGCCCACTGCCATTGGTGGGCCGGGCAATCTGTCTCTCAACATGTCGCCCAAAAGATCTTTGAGTTGGGATCATCCCCCCGAACTAGGAGTCCTACACATGTTGTTACTAGGTCCCACATGTAGCCGCCAAAACGTTGATTGACACGTGATCAGGGTTCCTTACAGGGTAGACTTAAGCCAGGTGGGAATCTCAATTTTACTGATTGCGAGGATCCATCCTTATGAAGGACCTGGGTCTGGGTCAAAAATGACCACCAGGGGACCGCAGATTTTCGTCCATGTTTCCATTTACCAGGGTTCCATTTTGGGTACCTATTTCTGACCCACAGCCAATTTAGGCACCCAAAAAGGGACTGAAGTGCAGAACGGGCACCGGGCTCGGAGCTTCCATCGTTCTCCAACGTCTCTTGACACAAGCACGTCTGGCAGGAGACCTGCAAGCTCTGCTTCCTGCTGAGTGGGCATGTTAAGTCGCATGCGCCGCGTTGCTTTTTCAACAATCAACGCCCGGCTCCCTGGAAAGGACAACTCGAAGGTTCCGATAAGCAAGAGTGGTTCGAAGCTTGAGCCATGGTTGCAACCACCGGTTGGCGGCTTCGATGCAGCCGGGGAGCAGCAAAGTAATGGAGGTCAAAGCGGCCATCTGAACGAACGCACAGCTTCCGGCCGTCCTGCAGAGTTCGAGCTGAAACCCGGACACTCCGCCGTCAGACAATCCTGGAAGCAGTAAGGCTGGCTTGCTTGGCACTGGCAATCCCCGGCAAAGTCGGGAACTCCCTGCACCGCGAAGACCGGGCAGCTTCGATCCTGGCCGAAACGAGAAAGGGATGGAATATGCCTCACCCTTTCATATTTCCTGAAACTTGAAACACAAAGTGAATCCAAAAGAGAACCCCAGGCACGCTGTGAAAGCCGCACTGCCTGCAGCTGGCGAGCCCCCGCCATGACTCCATGACATGGCGCCAGCTCGCCTAAGCCAGGCCTCAGGCATTTGCTTGGCGCGGACCTCCACCATCAAGTGGCATGATGACGATGATGACGATTAAGGGATAAACAAACAAGGGCTGGAACCAAGCCAAACAAACATCTGTGCTTTTTGAGCAAGCATGGCCCACTCCATGAGCCACAAGGGTGCCGCAGCTGCTGCATGAACTCCGCACCATAGGTTCATGCTATGACTCTTCTGTCTCGCTATCTCTCTCTCTCTCTCTATGGATATAGATATTTATATATATGTGTATATATATATATGTTGATGCTTGTCTGTCCCTCCCCATCTGTTGCCACAGCAGGTCCTTGTCTTTGTCTCTTTCCTTGTCCCTCGCCCGACTCTTGCTGCCTTCAGGCTTGCCTGCACGACACATACACCTGCTGCCAAATCCCAAGGGCTGACAGCAAAATGATCCCATCCGGCCATTATCTTTGTCCTTCTTCTTTTCACCCTTGGAATTTCCGCTCACTGACGCACACCTCTGATTACACAATGCCAAGTGCGAAACCACGTCGCCCAGCTTCTCCTTCTGCGCTTTGTCCCACCTCGCCGCGGCATAAGATGTCTTCTCACACCGGAATATTCAAGCACTGCTCAAGGACTTTCACGGAGGTGTGCGCACCAGGCAAAGCCCCGATCTTTTCTGCGCGTTGATGAGCATTGGCTATGCTGTTCAAGATTCAGAGATGGATTCCAGCCTATGTGTAGCCAAGAAGTTTGAAGTCAGCTGCATACACCTCCTTGGTGCGTTGCTCCACTTCTGGCGTCACATTTGTCCAGGTGCAACGCGGGTTGGCCTTGAGCTGATGCACTTTCAGAGCAATGGGCAGCTCAAACTTGCTCATCAAAGAGTCGAACTCTGCGGTCAGATTCTCATAGCGTAGCACATGGTCGCAAGTTGTCAACCCTGTACCCTTCTGCCATATGTACTCGGATTGAGGGATAAAATGGCATCCGCCCTGGTAAGGGTCCTTTTGCGTGGCTTCCAGCATGTCAAAGGCCCACTTTGTAAAATCCTCTCTGCTGCAGTTTGGTCCAGCGCTGGTGTATTTCCACTTGCTTACCAGCCGCGTCACAGGGTGCCGTACTACGCAAAAGGTGTCACACTGCTGGTAGCCCTCTAATAGCAAGTCATCAGCACCTGGTGGCACATGCCATGCAGGGCAGCCACCGTGCCCTGCAGGGGACTTGCAGCCATATGCTAAAACTTGGCCTACGTTCGGCACGGCAGGCCTGAACTCATGCTTGTTCTTGCAGGAAATGTTGTGGTCAAACACTCCCCATTGGGGAAGTCCTCTTAATTGCTCCCTCTTCAGCCACAGCTCGTATTCGATGCTGGTCCCTCCCGTCTTGGGAATATGGATGAACTTCAAGCACCGAGCTCCATGTCCAGTCTCTTTGAAAGTTGGGTCAGGCCTTCGCACTTGCACAGGGCTCTCTTGCGGCACTGGCGACTCCTGTTCCTCCAAGGGCGCTTTGGCCCGCGTTGTGGTCACCTGTGCTACCAACAACGTTGCATGCCTCAAATGCAGAACTGCCAGAAGAACAGCGGCGACTAGAGCACACAGCCACCTTCTTATTGCGGCCATAGAGTTGACCGCGAAGAAAGGGCCCTAGAAAGCAGAAATGCCACGGAAGAATGCCATTGCAGAATCTTCTCGTACCGCTCTGCTATCCCGCTCAAGGACCAAAATAGCATAATAGTCGTTTGTACCTGATTGCTTTGCAAAGTACTTTGAGAAGTCATATCGGGTGGGTTTGAGCATAGGGCGCTGATCCAGGACGCCTCATTCATGAAGCAATCTGTGGCACTCGTGTCATTTTCTGCAAGTTGCTCATCTTGATTCCCTAAATGTTGCAAGGTGACCAAGACATGCGTGACGTGCGGAAAATCAGGCCCCGATACCTGTTCAACTTACGTATGGCGACCGCGCACAAATTTGCAGAATCCCGCCCCAACCATGTTCTATGCTGGCTACACCTGCGGCCCTGGCTCCTCCACGCGCGGCTTCAGGTCGTCCATACGCTGGCGGACCTAAGTAAAGCTGGGGCGGAATTCCTGAGTAAGGTCAAGCCCATGCTTTCTTGTTTGTTTCTTCCTGACGCGGGCCGGTCAAGCGAAACAGCTTAGACTCAAGCTATGGTGTAAGCCTCGTGGATGCGGAACCTGCAAAGGACCAAGACATTCCGTCAAGCGCACAGCCATCTGCCATGATCGCACACGAGATCGAGGCAAAGACTTCTTGTGGGCTGCATTGCCTGCATCTCCTTCATATGACGTGCCGCACACCTGGTGTCCAAAGACAACGCCTCAACAGCATCTCCCATCTCAATGTAGCACGCACACAGGTCGCACAGCCGCATGTTTGTCGTTAGTGCACTTCTGGCAAGGTTCTGTCGAAAGCTACGTCGCATGAGCAACATGTCCCTGCAATAAAACAACACTGGCGGCATAAGTTGCCTTTGGCAACCCCGCATACCTCTGCTGCCCGATGGCAGCAGACCCGTCGAGCTGGCCCTATTGGCCAGTGCAATGCCACGCTGTGGCTGCTAAGCTCCAAGTCAGCCAAGCGCAAAGCATTGCATGGGCCAAAGGGAGCAAAGTAATTCGTTCTGGAGAACGATTTCCGAGAAGCCGCTTAGTTGCTACCCGTCCAATAGAAATCGGGTCTTTGGTGGGCCTCTGCCTCCGGAGCCAGCACCCCTGGGTCTTGCCACGGGGCTGGCCACTCCACCTGGCCATTTAAGGACGACCGGTGACTGCAACGAGCCAACCAGCCAACCCCGAGCCTGGTGCATCGCCAGCCTGACGCTGCCAGGCCTGACAGTTGAGATACCATGGGCGAAGTGCACTAGTTGCATCGAATTTCACCTGCCTGAGAGTCATCAGCCACCAGCCGAAGCCCACCCTCCAGACGCAGGGTGGCGCTCGCGCGCGCTTGTGTAAGGCGGCCTGAAGATCCAGGGTGCGGCCCGGAGGTCGCTACGCGGATCAGGCTACATGTCCATTGCAAGTAGGACATACGGCCCGCCTAGTTGGTTCACCTCCTCTCGAACCTGCCACTCAGAAAAGGAATCCAATGGCTCAGCGCCCTCCGCCGCCTTGGCATGCAAGAGCCAGGCATCCAGAAAATCTGGTGGCGGAAGATTCTTGACGTGGTCCTCCAGGAAAGAGTCCTGGTCGCGGCGAACCCCCAAGCCGATGAAGCCATGAAGCTGAGCGGCTTGCTACCAGGGCTCCATCCAAGCCGCCTGGTCCAGCTGCCGCTTTGCTTCCAGTTCATCCTCGCCATCCCCCCCTCTTCGCGCATGTCGGCGCGGGCCAAACGCACGACAGGAATCTGGGAATGAATTTCAATCGGCCTTCCAACTCCTCAGATGGGCTTGTGCTTAAGGGTACCCTTAAGTAAGGTTGGCTGAGTTGGCTGAAGGAAACTCGCCAGAAAACCCACGACTACAGTATTCTTGAGGTGCCCTATTTTTTTTGCCCACCCCCAGCCCAACGGTTTCATAGCCATCCGAACCAAGCGGCAGCCATGAAGAGCGCAGCCTGCTCTTCCGCCAGGGCCTGGCCCTGCTTCACCGCCAGCCTCGCCAGGGAGCGTGGGTCACGTTCGCCGGTTGCGCATTTACGCCTTTAGGACGTGCCCAAAGCAAGGCCTCAAGACTTCTAGCTGCTGTTCAGAAACCATTCAACACATTTCCCCCCCTCCTACCTCCCCCCCGCAAATCAAGCCGTGATGGGCGGCCAAGTTGCTGCACCTGGTCGTAGATGCCATCCTCGAGCACCTGGGTGGACTCCTGGACGGTCACGAGCCGCTTGTCCAAGTCGGCCACCTCCAACCAGAAACTCAAGCCAAAGGAGCCGAGGACAATGACTGGCCAAACCCAACGGGAAATTGGTTTGTCCTCCCAAATTCTTGATGGGGAGTTTGGGTCGTGCCCCCATGCCTGCTGCGATTCCACTTTCTGCCTCTCTGTCAAGATGCCGTTGGCTGTTGAGGTGCTCGCCTCAACTTTCAACCACTCTTCTTGCACACGTAGAGAACCAAAACTCAACAAGTTAGCAGCACCGTGCATTTGGTCGCACATGGCGTGTTGGGATTTGCTTGACTATTAAGCTGGCCTTCAGGGCATGCATGTAGGCCTCACGCAGGCTGATCAGGCGGTGCTTCTTGGCTTCGCCTGCCGGATGAGGGCTTGGCATTTGCATCTGGCGAGGCTGCGCGTGGGTGAATACAATTTTCAGCCGTGAGCAAACCACATGCCTGCGCTGTGGTTCCCCAGCTTCCGGCAGTGCTGGCAAACAGGCAGTTTGCACTCCTCAGGCGCTTGACAGACCCCAAAGCAACAAGCGGGCCCACTCCTGCAACTGTGTCGCACCAGTGTCGCAAGCTGGGAAAATGTTGACTTGGAAACTTGCAACTTTCCCTTTGCGCAGCTACTAGCGCAGCTATACTGGATAATCCTCGATGCCCCCTATTGGCATAGACTTGGCATAGACTTGCCCCATTCGAGCCGAGCTGCAGCGCAGTACATGTCAGCTTCCGTACCAAGGTGGTCCAAGCAATTGCCCAGTGGAGCATTCGGTCGGCGATTGATCTCCACACGGATGTGTCTTGAGGCCAGCTTGTTTGCAGAATGGATTCGACTGTCGCATGGCCTGCAAAGGATTGCATCGTCCGCCTCGCAATAAACCTGGGGCTGAGCAGCGCGAACAAGCAAGCCGCAACATCTACCTCTGGCAAACAAGTCGCGAAACCCCGAGAAACGCTACAATCCTAGATTTCAAAACATACATGGCAAATTTAGGCTGTGTTTTGCCCGGGTGTTAGAATGCCAGTGCGCAAGCAAACCAACGGTCAGTTCAAGCTTTCGCTGAAATCACCGGAAACCAATCAAACAGCATGCATCCCAATCCCGACCCCAAAGCTGAAGGGCATCAAGTAGCGGGAACCGAAAACCCCGAAGTTGCCTCCAACAGCTTCTGGCCACTGTGATTATCCCAGCCAACTGCAAGCCCCAGCCCCCGCAGCTTAGAAGACTAAACGAACTCGGAGCTTTTAGCATCAGTCTTGAACTCCGCTACATGCCGGGTGCCAGAGCATCGCAAACAGCAACTCTCACAAAGACTCAACGCCAGCAGCCAGCCCAGACCCTAAGCCGCGAAATGGATGCTTCCCAAAGCTGACCAAGTCCGGTTTGTGCATTACAAATGGCTCTCAGGGCACGTGTAGTTTCAAGCCATGAGCTATGCCAGCAAGCCTGCCGCTACATGAACTCCACAAGTTCTCACCGCCAGCATGGCTACAAGCCTGCTTAAGCTGAAACCGCCCCCAAATATGCAAACCCGCGTCAGGCTGAGTGAGTAAGGCAAAAAGTGCGAAGAAAGCAACCGAGATCACAGCGCCAAGGAGCCAGTGCTGCTTGCAGCCCGCAACTGTCGCAGAGAGGAAGGTTCAGCAGCTCTGGCATTTCTGGGTCGAATTCAAAGTGCACCAGGTACACAGGCAGCGCCTCTAAGGCAAAACCGGCCAACCTCCCCTAGCTCACTGAACCCGTTTATATATATATATATATATATATACTCAGCGCAATGCGACATTCAGCGGGGCGATGCGCCTGGGCAGGGTCCCGCACCAAATACCTCAGTGCTTGGCGTGTGGCCATTTTCCACGAGACTTCACGTCAAGTCTTCGATGTGCTGACAGGCATCTCATGGTGTAGGACATGCCGAGGCAGAACGCCTGGGAACTCCTCGTCGACGACCTGCTCATTGGCCGGGCTATGGCGGACAAAGAAGCTGTCATACTCAGGAGGTAGTGCCAACGTCTCCTGAGCAAAGAAATCACCCCCCCCCCCCCTCCGCCACTATGACTGAAACGGGCGGTGCAGTGCAGACGCGCACCCGCCCTTCTTTCTCACAGGCAGCCAAATTTCTGCATGGCCCGGCGTATCAATCAAATATGATCGGCCAGCTCCAATTCGGCAAAGAAGGAATTCCTGCGCGCAAAGCCAACCACGGCAAAATCTATGGCGAGAACTTTCTGCACCAAGCCGGGTAGCATACAAGCGACGCCCTGCAGGCAACGACCTGTGGCAGAGGCAGTGCCAGCAAGGGCCCTCCTTCAAACGAACAGAACAAGCACGTGCCCCAGGTCGCACGCTTCGCTAAGCCGGCAAACTGACCCTAGCTTTCTGGCAAGAAAGTTGGACCTGACGAATCCGTAGGAAGCAACAAGTGCCAGGCCTTCCGCGACTTTTTACACCATGACCTCGATCATTGCCGCCCCGATCACGTCCGTCACTGTACAAACTGGCAGGGCGCATGGCGACGATGCGACCCCAGCCCCCTGGAAATCTCAAGGCTCCCCAAGAAGACGAAGCCTGAGCTCGAAGCCTGAAAGCCGGAACATGGGGGCCGCCTCTAAGACTTGATTGGTTCCAAATACGCACATGGCACCCCAACGTCGCTCCTTGGAAGCTGCAGATTGCCGACATGGAAGGACACCTCATGCTGCATAGGTCAGCTTCTTGAACCACCACTCAAAGGCAGCCGAGATTCTCCCACATGGCCAGCTTTGAAGCCATTTCTGCAAATGTCCTGCCATCCAACACTCGAATACGTTCGCATTGTGCTATGCAGATTGGCCCTCTCCTCAACAGACTGGCCGAAAGGAATCTCAGCAACAGGCAGCCACGCATGAAGCTGCAAAAGCCTCAGCCAGCAACTTGCCAAAGCAAAGGGCTGACCAAGTAGGAATTGCAAGCAGCCCCACCCTAACTTGTACCAGGTCACCCTTTGCAGCGTGACTCAAATTCCACATTGAGGCGCTTGTTGGCAACAGACCAGGCAGAGCGCAATCGTATTCTGTACGTGCTACCTGAGGGAAAGGATGGCAACCACACACACAGACGTCACCCATTTGAAAGGGTGAGGCAGAACAACAAAAAAACATCAAAACTATTTACTTCCCAAAGGCAGGGAAACTATTGAACATGAAGAAGTAACATATTGAGCAACATTGCTTTGCATAACACAGTAAAACAATTGGAAACCACAGCTAATAAATAAATATATATATATATATATAAAGTTTAAAAAAAAAAAAAAAAAAAAAAAAAAAAAAAAAAAAAAAAAAAAAAAAAAAAAAAAAAAAAAAAAAAAAAAAACTTGTCGGGGCTGGGGTTGCTTTGTCTAGAGTTTTTGGGTGGGTTTGCTGCCGATGGTGTAGGGTTGTTTGGCTTGAACCCACCGCAAACCCACCCTAAACCCACCCCAAGCCAAACCAACCTACACCAACCCGCAGTTAAATCTTCAATCGGGCACCATTTTGCTGCAACAACACATAGCCTGGAAACCGCGTTATCAAAAGAAAACAGGCTTCAAAAACAAATTGGTCGAGCATGGCTGCGGGTGCTTTGCGGCAGGAAGAAGCTTCTTGGCGCAGCCCCCCCCGGAGTGGAGCAAGGACAAACAACGGCGCAGCTAACAAGAAGACGGGGTGGTTTTGGGGACTGGGGCAGTGCAACAAGCACAAACAACAGCATCATGCCTTCCTGCCTTCCTGCCTTCCTGCCTTCCTGCCCTTCCTGCCCTTCCTGCCCTTCCTGCCCTTCTGCCTTCCTGCCTTCCTGCCTTCCTGCCTTCCTGCCTTCCTGCCTTCCTGCCTTCCTGCCTTCCTGCCTTCCTGCCTTCCTGCCTGCCTGCCTGCCTGCCTGCCTGCCTGCCTGCCTGCCTTCCTCCGTCCTTCCTTCCTTCCTTCCGTCCGTCCTTCCTTCCTTCCTTCCCTCCATCCCTCCCTCCCTCCCTCCCTCCCTCCCCCCCTCCCTCCTTCCTTCCTTCCTTCCTTCCTTCCTTCCTTCCTTCCTTCCTTCCTTCCTTCCTTCCTTCCTTCCTTCCTTCCTTCCTTCCTTCCTTCCTTCCTTCAACAAGTGCTTCTTGATGCCGAATAGGTTGTGTTTGATGTTTGACAAGTTGTTATTGATGCGTAAAAAGTTTGCTTGATACCTCTCCCCACTTGAAGCCAATTGCCAAATGTACAGACGCCATGTTGCAACTTGCATTTAGCAAGTACTCCAGCCAGCCCCACTCTGGTGACCGGCGCGTCACCGGCACGGCAAAGGGCTGGTCAGGAGACTTATGCAGCTCCATGAGCGCACCAAAGTGGTATGTCACAGGTTTGGGACTTGCTACTCCCTCTGATGGTCAAAGGGGGCTTCTCTAGCAACCATTCACACCTTGCACCCCCAACCCTGTCAGCAAACACGCACTAACAACTTGTCGAGAGAAGGTAGCAAATTCGGGTGTTTCTGCTTGCCTTTTGCTTGCCTTCTGCTTGCCACCAGCTGTTGTCAATCACATGTGTGTGGAGCTGAACTTGAACAACACAGCTGCGCTACAAGCAGTCCCACAGCAGCAAACATCTCAACGCAAACTGACAGTCACTGCCCACTCGCAAGTGGGCGCAGGTGCCTCACACACTTCCTGGATAGCAAATGGCCAAGGTGCGGCTACAAGACATCATGCACGGCAAGCAAACAAAAACTGAGTCCTGAGGGGGCAATGCTGCTATTGCTTTCCTTGGCCATAGGCTCGGTCATGCCTTGTTGCCTTCAATGCCAACAGCCTCTGCCACTTGGCTTGCAAACATGCGCATCGCTGCATCAAAGTCTCTTTGTTTCTTCCTCAAGAACCTCTTCACCTTGCATGTCCGACAGGCAAGGAGCCGACACACGGCAAACCCTTGAAGTGCTAACAATGCAAAGCACTGTCCCAGAATGAATTGTGCCGCCTACCTGTTGTTTTGCCAGCACTTGTGCGACTGGTTAAGTGCAGCACGTTCTTTCAGAACTTCATTTGCCTTGCAAGATCAAGTGGGCTGTATGAGCAAGCGCCTTCACTGCAAAACGCCATGCCGGGTCTTTTAACAAGGTCATGCTCTTCCTGAAGGATTGAAAAACTCTTTCTCTCTCTCTCTCTCTCTCTCTCTCTCTCTCTCTTTCCCTGTCTAGCCAGGCCTGCTGGGTGAGAGCCTCCTTCTCTCGCACTTTGTCATCATCCAGCGATTCAGCCTTCTGGAGCAAGGCCTCGGGCGATTTGCAAAGCGGTGGGACATGCAAACTGGCTTGAGCTCGAGACAGAACTTTCTCGTTTCATTTGTGCCAGCCTCGCGACCGCATGTGATATCACAATGCCTGTAAAATTGGGCGAGCTCGATGCGCGGCTGTTCCACAATCCGGGCCTGTCATTCACTTGAATCGGCAAAGGAGGCTTCTTGCGGCGAACATCCTTCAGGGCATGTGCAGTTTTTGCTTTGATGCAAACCAAGTTCCTGGCTGACTATCAAGCTTGTGCGTGACTGTGTTTGCTTCTTCTTTTGGGCATCTTCCTTAGAGGAGCTATTTGCGCTCGCATCACTGGCTAGTGATTTTTCAAGGGGTACAGCATGAATTTGGGGCTGAATTTGTTTGCTGAAGAGCCAAAATTGTGGGTTTAGGGCTGGTTTAGGCTGGATCTGTTAGGGTGGAATTGGGGCAGGGTCAAGATGGTTTCGGGTGAATTCAGGGTGGACGACAGCATGTCATGAGTAATCCGGGTCAAACCGATTCGCATTCACCTAGCCACACTCGAAGTGGGTGTGTGGCTGGCTCGGCTGGAAGCTGAGTTGCTGGGCGAGTGGCACCCAGCTTTTTGATACAACCGGTATGGCAAACGGCCGAGAGTGGCACAGGTGTGGTGCCATCCAATACTGGGAGAGCTTCCAACCAGAGAAAGGTCAAGGGTTGGTAGGAAGCATCCCAACTCCTAAGCAAGCGGTGTCTTGCCCCGAACACGCAAGCATGGCAGTTGGGTGCAGATTTTTAAAGGTGCAGAAAAATAATACTATGAATTTGGAATCGGAAGAGTTTAGCGTCTGTGGCGAGTTGGCTTCGGGTTGACTCAGAGTGGACGAAGGGTTGCAAGGTTGGTTTATGTTGGATTTAGAATTTGGAGTGGGGTTGGGATTGTTGGTGGGGTGGGTTTAGGCCGCGATGATTTTGGGCTGGGTTTAGGGCTAGCTTTTAGGGCCGAGAATTGGTTTGGGGCGGGCTTAGGCTGGGCTGGATGAGGTAGTTGAAAGCTCGTCTCAGCTTTTGCTTCGTTTCGTGTTTTTCGTGGCTTCAGCAACCTCCTCATCAACCAATCCTTGACCCACCCTAAACCCTCAAGCTAGCCGATCCACCCACCCTAAACCATTCCAACAACCCCCGAACCTATGCAACAAAAGGTCGCACAAGCCACACAAGCTGTGAGAATCTGCTGAAGCCACGAGAAAAAGACGCAAAGTCCAAGCCAAATACCTTCCTTGTCAAACAACCTCTGATTGTCTAAGCCCTGCTTCAACAACCCAGCTGCCTCGCGCATTCGGTTGTTCTCCAGAGCCTGCGTGACCAGGTAACAAAAGAAGCTTACGCCTGCATCCATTTCATACTTTCCTGGGAAGCGGGCAATGTGCGCTTCACACTCGCGAATAACCTGGCCCGGCCACATCCAAGCCCATTCAAACAGCCCATTCAAACAGCTCAACTCATACTGGCAACTCAGCTGGCCAAGGACAGCGCAAACAAATGCAAACGTCCCGTTCCCGGTACCGAATGTCCGTTCATCTTGAAGCAACATACAGACGCTGGGCCACCGGCAAAATCCAAGTCGCGGAGGGACATTTTCTCATACTCCCGCTTCAGGTTCTGTCGGCACATATCAGCCAGTCACGTCTACACAAAAACAGGACAGCATGAAAGCTCGAAGAGTATGTTCCAACAAGCATGTTTCTGACGTGTATGAAAGTAGCAACAAAGTGCAATGGAACTCACATCCACTTTTGGTTGAAGCAAACACGTTGCGACCTGCCTCGGCATCAGGGTGCTTGTTGAGTTGCTCCTTCAGAATTTTAACTGAGCAGCATGGGCAAACTTTGTGACAACTCTCGGGCGAGCTGTGCATGCACACAAGCACCTGGCCTTCATCAAATCGGAATGGATCCTGGTTTGACGGATGTCTTTGCACTGCCCACGCATTGCTAAAGTCCCGCAACTCAAACTCAACAGCTTGTCCACGACTTACACAGCAACCAGGTACAGCGCATAAATAGCACAAGGCGCTTCTCGCACACATTGAACTTGCGCTTGCCGCCCAAGAGTGACCTCACACGTTTGCGGACCCCACTGCCATTGATGCTTGTGCTCGAGGCAGGTACGCATCAAAAGGGCAAAGGCCAGCTAGGTAGGCCTTGCATACGGTGTCGTCCTTGAACCTTCAAACACAAACGTTCGCAAACACAGCGCCTGTGCCTACTTAGCAAGGTAACAGCTGGAACTGAGGCTGGAACTTCTCTTTGGCATTTTGTTCATCCTGGCAACGGACAACAAACCAAGGCAATCCGAGAGGTTGCGCCGGCCTTGACCAGTTGGTTGCGCCCTGGGCCCATCAAGGCGTCCAACATGGCCTGGCGATTGTGCAAAGACGCAAGCAAATTTCTGAGATCATCGGCCACGCAGCGGCTCACAAGCACCCAGCTCATGTTTCCCGGCCCGCGTCTTGTTCATGTTGGCAACACACACGAACTCACCACTGGGCAAGCTCCACCATGGGCATGGGCACGCAAGCTAATATCTCGATTTTCTAATCCTGCCATGTTTGATCCCGGTCCCCTATTCCTTTTGTGTTGGCTCATGAGGCTTGAATGCTGTCCGCCAAACTCTTCCTGATTGTGATGGCACATTTCTGTGGCACAGCCCAACTGGCCACGCCATGATGTGGCAGCCCACGTTGGCAGCTGGAGCAGGATAGATATTGCACACCAGCACTCCGAACTGTTTCACACCCTCTCATAGACGTGACACCAACCATCTGCCCTGTGAGTGACCGTCAAGAATTCCTACGGCACAAAACCACACCACGCGCACAACGCCTGAGGAAGGCACAGCGGGCACCAGCTGCACCGTGGGGGCTGGAGCGGCAGGGGCGGGAGCAGCACTGGTGGGAACTGGGGTCTCAACAGTTCGCTGCAGCGCACAACCAGCCAGACCACCGGTGGACACAAGCACGTCGAGAGCGGGGCGAAAGGCCTTGGGAACGGCCAGGGCTCTGGCACACGCAGGGAGGCGGAGAAAAAGAGGTGGCCCCCGATCTCGACTCCGAGCACAACAAACGACAGCGGGCGCTGGCAAGAAGCTCGGGGCAGTTCGCTCTTTTGCAGCAGCGCGCCTCCCCAGCGGTGGTGGGCGGGCACGCAATGGCCCTGTCAACCGCGAGCTCGGCCGCGTTCCAGAGGGGGGGGCCGTTCACGATGACCTCGGCACGACGGTCGTCACAGCGAGAGATGTTTTTTTCTCCGTGTTTGTTCTTCTTCTTGTCGCAATTAAGGGGGGCCCCGGGCACCAGGGTTCTGCAAGCTGTTTTTTCGGAGGCCGGTTTCCTCACCTGCATGCTGTTTTTACGGAGGGCGGCGTCCTCGCGTGCACACGACGGCTGCCGGCCCGCAGCCGCGACGGGAAGATGGGCACACAGCGAGAAGGTCACTCAAGTCCGGGCAAGGCTCACCAAGGCTGCTCAGGCCAGGGGGAGGCTGTCAGCGAAGGCGAGCGAAGCTGCAGCGCACAACAAGCCGGACCATCGGTGGACATAAGCACTTCGAAGGGCAGGGCGAAAGGCCTCCGGCGCGGCCGCTACATTGAGGTCACCGACAAGGGTGTTAGTGGTCACCCCGGCCTCACGGCACACGCGGGCTGCAGCATGCTCAAGTGAGCAGTGTTGTTTTCAGAGCCTCAAGGCTGATACACTGCTGGGGGGACTGCGCGGGGGGCTTCGCAGGGCCAGAATTCGCGTTGGCTTCGCAAGGCCGGCGCTTCGCCGGGTTTCGCGGATGTTTGTTCCACAAACATCTCTGCCGTTTGCGCTCTCATGTAGCTGGATCAAGTTGAGTTCATGCGTAAGGGGTCGATGAAAAACGGTAAGAGGCCTGTCCGCCCACACCTGGCCCCGGTCCCCCGTCATGTGTGACACATTGTGTAAGCGAGCTCCGCCAAGCCCCGCGAAGCCAAGTCGGGCAGCCCGGTAACATTGACACAGGCGAAGCCACTTTGCGAAGCCACTTTGCGAAGCCACTTTGGGGTTGGTGTGTGTCATGTGCTTTCATGACAGTAGGATGCCAAAGGTTGATGTTTAAAATCCGGTCTTTCTTGTCCCCCCTTTTTTTTCCTCAATTGGCTGCCAGAAGGCTATGACAAGACCACAGGAAGATTGCAGTCGGGCATTTTTGTTTTGCAAAGTCGCCCAAGACCTCCCGTGACCTTTCGCCGGACCCTGCCCTTACCGCAAAAGCGCCAACCGGCTGGGCCCGTCAGAGCACATGCTCGAGCGGCGGCCCCTGCTCGCCGCCAAGCCCCAACGGCACGGGCGGAAGGCTTAGCAACGACCCCGCCAGCGCTGACTGGACTCCACCATCGTCGCTCCCAAGCGACGGCGGCTGTACGCTGGAGCGAGGGTGACAGCGTCGAACGCCGCGCCGTCGCAATCGGCGGCTCGCGCCTGCGCCCGGCCCTCGCGGCTCAAGGGCGAGACGAGCGTGGCATCGCAACACAACGCAACGCCCGAAGCCGTGCTCTGGCCGTGCTCCCGCGGACGACGAGGTCCAGCCGCCGCCGATTGGCGGCATCAACTCCCGGGCACCGGTGTGCCAGCCACTGCTCCCTCAACAGGTTGGAGCGAAGCATCGTTTGGCATGCCTGAGGGGAGGCAGCAGCACGCGCTCGCGAAAGTGGTCATGCAAAGTGCGAGCAGCGTGGAACTGCCATCCCCGCCCAGCAAAAGAGAAGGGGCGTGGGCAAGGCACCAGCATGGGCAAGCATAGCGCACGGCCATGAACAGTGCGCCCAAAACACACAATGGGCGCCCAATGGCTCGGTGAGCGCTCGGCCGCCGATGGCTGGCGGGCAGCCGCCGCAGAGTGACAACACGGAACTCCTTGGTCCCTGCCCAGGGCACAGCACCGACTCACCTCGACAGCCGCCAACGCCCGCAGCGGCACGGCGCGAGGGGGGCCAGTAGCGAAGTGCGGGAGCTGAGAGAAGCCCCCGGCTCTGCGGAACGCAGGTTGAGGGCACCGCGTGTTCCGC